TCTACATTGGATACCTGGGTTGTTTTAGACATGTAGACAAATGTGGCACCTTTGAATTACATGCATTCATATATTATTCAACTTTCCAATAAAAAATATTCGTGGAAGAAAACAAATCAGAAGACAGCTTCAAGAAGTGGATGCTATAAACTCCTGCTTTCAATGTTTGTTATTAAAGTTATTGGATTAAGACTTCTGGAGTATCCAAAGCTGTTTTACTCTTTATTTTTAAACTTTTTGAGGGTCACTCACTTCTCTGGACTTCATTCTTTAGTTATCTAAATTGTGAATAGAAGGATGTGTTTGTTTGGGGAAAGGTCTTCATTTTGGCACTGCAGAATAATGCCTGCCACTTAATAGATGCTCCATGAAACTTTGTTAAGCAAATTAATGATTATCATAATATAAAGTGTTTTAGGTATGTAATGTTTGCACTGAAATTTGATGTATTTGCATATAAGAGGATGAGACAGTTTGGAAAAATTTGGTCTATGTAAGATATACCATAAGGAATAATGATGTCTGAGGAAAGAAGAAACGTTACATCTTTTTGTCATAAATAAAGTAACATGAGGAGAAATTGTCAAGAATAGAGAAGAAATCAGAACTACTGGTTGTGCTTTCATTTTATTTTTAAACTAGAGATATTGGTGTAAATTTAATTAGTGAACTGAAGGAGAAAAATACTCTGTTTCATTGACAAATAGGAAATGAGATATGGATTTACTTTCAACCTTATGCATGACAGGAAAGCTATCTAAATAGCGAGGTGAGTGTAATATGGAGTCTTTCATATTCATTAGTTAGAGCCAAGAATGGATAAGAGGTCTCAGAAGCTATTTGATTTGACATTTCACTTTGAAAAGGGAATTTACCAACAAAGAATTTGCAAGAGGGATGAAGAGAGAAGGTTCGGACTACTTGGTGAATTTTAGAGGAATGGGGGAAAGCATAAAAAATGCTGTTTTAAATCAATAATTGATGGTGTGATAAATGCAGGAAACACTGAAGGAAGGACTTGGCAGTGAATAATACAGGTGACACTGGGTATTCGTCTTCCCTCTGAGTGTCTAGGAAAAAAAATTCCCAAGTTGGTAGTGACACACTCTACTCCATTCGATTCAGCCGTACCTTCTTTCCTCTTGTAATTCTCTTTTCTTTCTCAGGCTCCACACAGTTAGGAACACTTTATTTTTCATTCCAGCTGGTGCTTCTGTCTTCAGCAGATACTTTATAAGTGCTGCTTTGGATGGAATCAGCTTTTGTTGTTTTGTTTTTTTAAATTTTCTCCTCTCTGACGTGGATTTGATGACTCCCATTTTTGATGTGATGTTAATAGAACTCATCTATCCCCATAATTTATTCTAATAAAATATACTCATGTGAACTCAGGAATTAATTCAGAAAAGGACATTCTTCTGCTCCAAATGCGCTTGGCCTTGTTTGTGCCCTCGTTCTTCAGCTAACTCCTAGGGGAATTTAGTCAGATTGGGTAACCTTTTCTGTGCAGGTAACCTCAGTGGATTCTACCAGTATTTATACATTTGTGTCCCTCTGAGTGTAGATCAGATTCTCCACTTAATTACCTGAATGTGGTTTCGGTGGCTTTCCGACGTGCTAGTTTAAGCAGTGGAAAAAAATCAATAGTCTAATCAGTTGCTCCACTTCTAATTTTGTTTGTGTTACTTGCATTATTCATCACACTCACAAATCATGCTTTCTTTTCCTCTTGACAAAGTAAAAATCAGATCTAGTTAAGCAACATAAACAGATGTGGAAAAAAATAAAAATGTATGTCTTTATTCGTTTTATTTTGGATTTGGAGTTTACAGTACACAGACAGTATAAAAACACAGGACAATTTATGTGGAAGTAAATGACTCCTGCATATGCACATTGGTGATCTACTCCATTTGCAATTAAAATAAGCAAAATCAGACTAGAGCTACTCCCAGAGCCAACTGTGAAGGAGAATGTGTAAGGATAATAACACCAACCTCCAAGAATTGTTTTTGGTGTTAAATGAAGATGTCTAGAACAAAATGATGGCTCAACAAATGACAGTAAAACAAACATAAACATGAAGCTTGAGAAAGTGTACAGAATGAAGATGTCGTTGGTGATGGGGGTAGCTTCTGTAGATAGGAGTCCCTGCTAACTCAAACCTAGGACTTTGAGTCTCCTGCTAAATTGCTACTTCTTGAGTACCTGGGTATTTAGTGGTATCGGTAGATACGCATGACTTTTGTGTGTGTATCTCTTCCTGGCTTCATTGTGGTAGGGATATTGTCGTTGTATAGTTGTTTATTTATTTATTTTGACCCAGGGAAGAGGTTTGGGTTGCTATATTGTTTTTTTTGTCTCAGAGGCTAGGAAGGTAGATGAACACGTCTTGTTTACCTTACTTGGCCCCAGGTCCTTCAGTTTCTGCTGCTATTTTTCAGTCCTTCAAGAAGAAGGGTAGAGGCAGAAACTGAAGAAATTGGTCTTATACAAAATTTTGTCAGAAGCAGAAGAAATGGTGCTATTTTAGTGCCCTTAGAAGGACTGGGAACCACCTCCTCAGGCAGAGCATTGCTTTCCCAGGCAATTAGCTGGGGTGGCCAACTCAGCAGAACCATGGTAGGAAACTGAAGTGACTCAGTGAGCCCTGAAATGCCCAGTGGGCATGGCAGATTTCCAGTGGAGACCTAGCAAAACAGTGTAGTACCCAGATGGCATAGATTCATCATGACCACATGTGTGAAATCCTCTGGGGACTGCAAGTAATATTTGATAGTGAAGAATATTTTTGGAGTCAGGCATTTTGGGTGAGAAAATGAGGGCCAGAACTGAGCTGGGGTAATTTGTGATGCCCTTCTAGTTTTAAACTCCCTAGATGTCACCTCCAGTGATAAGAGCTAATTTTCTGTTGCTTATTTTACCCACAGGTTGTCACCAAAAATCATTACCAACTGTCACATTAGGCAGTACCTACAAGGAGAACATTGCATTCTGGTGTACTGTGAAAAGCTCATCTGCATACATGCACAAGTTCATATAGAACTGACATTTTTTAAAGAACAGCACAGCTTGAGAAATAGAAAGAAGCTTTAGATCATCCAATCCAGGTGATTTTCATACAAAGTTTGGCTGTAAAACTTTTTAGTGAAAATGCTTTTCTACTCAATATACATTTACTAAGAACATACACATGTGTAAATACAGATATTAATAAAGTATAGTGTTTAGCTCAGAAATGATTCTGTTTGATAAAGGCATCTCTTTCACGTTGTCCAACAGACACATATGCACGCACACACACATACACATATGTGAACATATACCCCATAATGCTCCTTGAATTTATAAATAAAAGGGAGGGATCAAATGGGCAGAGGGGTGAGGGCGGGGAAGAATGAGAAAAGTGTTGCAGGGGAAATGTGAAAAGGAAAGTTTTTCTAGTAACACACATTTCTTGACCTTGTATTTGAAGAATGAAAACATATTTCAAAGGCAGAAATTTAAAAAACTAATTCCAGGTATAAGAGTGGTATGAACAAAGGTAGAAACTTGAAAACTAAAAAATTAGAGAAAATAAGTATGGGCCACAATATTACAGACTTAAAGTTCTGTTTAAGGACATTGTGGGTCCATTTTAAGAGGATATTGATAGTGAAAGCTGTGCTTTGGAGAAATTGTTCTGGTATCTGAGGGCCCTTTGTGGGATAAAGACAGAATTAGGAGAGGGGATGAAACTTGTGACTGGAGAATCATCCAGTTGCTCTCCCTACACAACCCTGTAGTGACTCCTGGGGTGACTTTACAGAAACCGCAAGGTTCCACATATGGGATTTAAAAGTGTTTTCTTTTCTGTTTGCTTCTTCTCTTGTTTGTTCGTTTTTGAGTCACATTTCACAACTGAAGGAACTATGGCTGGGAGTTCATTAATAATTTGAGCAAGATTATCTATTGTTGAGATTTTCTTCATAGCTCTCAGCTATAGATTGGTAGCTATAAACATCTTCAAGGCATTTATCCTGTTTACTTCACACTTTAGTAATTTGCTTTTCCTGGAAATAGTCTCGGTTTTTCTTGAAATTACCAGTTCCTTAAGAAAAACAGAGTTCATTAGAGTTCAAGGATTAGCAGACCAGCAGGTGTCTATTGCAATGTCTATATATTCGTGATCACTATTATATCTATTGACATTGTTATTATCATTTGAAGTGATCAAAACTGTGTGTGTGTTTTCAGAATCATAAAGTGTCTTGACATTTAATTTTTAAGAATTTCACTTAAGATCCAAAAGTTGCAATTACATAGTCTAGGAGACATTTAGATGTTAACAACTCCGTTTAGAATGAAGCACATGGTAATAACCTATTTATATCCAACATAAATGCCAAAATACAACATGATGTATCTTTATTAGCATGTTAAATTATCTCCTTAAAAATTAGAAAGGTATGTAGTTTCCTTTATTCACATATTACCCGGAAGTAATCCATGAACTAGCAATTTCTATTGTCCTGGCAATGCGGATCCTGCCTTGATTCAGGTTAGAAAGGTATGGGAGAGGCTGATGTGAATCGGAGCATTCCTGCTTTTACTGGCTATTGCTTCAGCCTCCTTTTCATGCTTTGTTTCTCTTCCCTTTAAACATGTTGCCCAGATGAGATGATGGTCAGAACTCCCCCAGAATATTCTACTGCTTAATTGGGAGTAGTGGATATGTTGTTCATTAAATGGAAATATTAAGAGGCTTTTTGTTACACATACCATATAATAGTGTTTAGTGCTGGGTAGGAGAATAAAAGCTTGTTGATATGAATTGTCTGTATCCCCCCGCTCCAAATCCCATCCTGAGTTGTAGTTCCTATAAGCTCTACATGTTGTGAGAGGGACCCAGTGGGAAGTAATTGAATCATGGGGGCAGTTACCCTTATGCTGTTCTCATAATAGTGAGTGAGTTCTCATGAGATCTGATGGTTTTATAAGAGGCTTTCCCCCTCCTTCATTCTGCACTTCTCCTTCCAACTACCATGTGAAGAAGACATGTTGGCTTCCCCTTCTGCTATGATTGTAAGTTTCCTGAGGCCTCCCTAGCCCTGCAGAACTGTGAGTCAATTAAACCTCTTTACTTGATAAGTTATCCAGTCTTGGGTACGCCTTTATTGGCAATGTGAGAATAGATTAGTACACTTGTTTCAATAGTTTCTTTGTAATTAACTGCATTACAAAAAACTGGAAGCCAGTTGTATATCCAAGCAATTGAATCAGCTCATCTTTAATTTTTGCTCCCCACTGAGATCCTAAGAGTTTAGTTTGGATTTTTGGTGACTCACTATTAGTCCTTCAGCTCTCCTTTTCTTTTAATTGCTGGCCCTGCTCTCTCAACCTCAAAACCTATTTAAGCTGATTTTGCAACAAAGTTTTACTTCTAGCTAGCAGACATTTAGATAATTAAGTGAATGTTATCGTTACAAAAGTATCATCTAAGGAAGATATTTATAATTTAAAAGCGAAGTATCATGACTAAGATCTTGCAGGACTCCAAAGAAAAACTCCTACAGGGGCACTAAGTTTTGTGAAACAGAGATAGAGATTTTATGGAAGGTCTTTAATGGTATGCTTCATCCCATGTACAGCCGTCTCTCTGTCTAGGAGGTTAATTGTACAACAAAGAACGAAACTGAGCCATGATTTCCTTTTGATACCTCATTACAAATTTTTTTTTTCTTTAGCTGAGTCTTCACTTTTATACAGAGCCAGGTGTTGTAGCGTGTTAAAGTAACAAATCAACCCATTTGAGCTTTTGAAGGTACCAATTTGCGTTTGGATATCTTTAATCTGGCTGCATATATGTCCTTTTCAAAGCATTTCTGCACTTAAACACTATCCAAAACAACATGTGGCAGTTTCTCTAATTACTTATGATTAAGAAAAAAGCAAAGTCAGGCCCTCAAGGCCTACATACGTTGCTATTCTACTGGAGAAATGAATGCTATAGAGCAAAGCAGCTTGAAAATTAATGTGCGGCACAACGCAAGACAGCAGTTTGTGATTGCATTTCTTTCCTTGACTGTATTTCAAAAATGTTTCACACAACAGGAAAAAGAAGAAAAAAAAAAGAACAGATGGTTTGAGTTATAAAAGCCACTGAAAACAATGGTGCAAAGACATTTCTGTGCAGTAAAAAACTCATCAAAATTGTCAGTCACTGAGTCTGCGGCAGAGCAAAGGAAAGAATAGATGAAGTGCAGAAATGTCTAATAGAGCTATTTTGATGTGGGCCCTAGAAAATGACAGACACATGGTTAAAAAGCTGAGAAAAATGTGTCAAAAGATAGAATTATACTGTGAAATTTCTCTTTGAGTTAATAAAAAGCAATAATAGAGAAATATGTTCATTCTGCAAAAGTACAGTGAGATATTTTCCAAATACTTCCTTAAGAAGCAATGAGTAATTTGTTCTTTCCTTAATGAGAACTTTATTCTTATTTAATTAAAAATATATTTATCTTATTGTAAGAAATAGAATAAATTTATTGGAAATTTGGAAGGAGTTTATTGTATAGGTCTTTCAGAAGCCAGAGGTACAGAAGTTAATGCCAAAAATCAGCCTGGCAACTGACCCAGAGCAAAACATAACAAGAAGCTTAACAAGGATGATTAGTTTTACAGTCCTTGGAATGAGGACTCTTGACTAATTTTTACTATGTAATTCTGAGCTCAACAAGGTTGCTCTTAATTCAGTAAATGATCTATATGTAGGTTTCATTATCTTAGAATTGATCTTATTTCTTTAACATCCTTCGCTTTCCTCAATCACTTAAGTTCACCCTTACCTGTACATGGAATCCTACTTCATTTTCAGTATGGATTCTGGCCTATGGGGTACCCCATTGTCTTGGTCCATGTAAACTGCTGTGATAAAACACCATAAGCAGGGTAGGTAATAAACAACAGAAAGTTATTTCTCATAGTTACAGAGTCTGGGAAGTCCAACATCAAAATACTGGAGGAGTCAGTGTCCATTAAGGGCTCGCTTTCTGGTTCATAGAGGGCATCATCTCACTGTGTGCTCACATGGCAAAATTCTTGGACCTATTTTATAAGTGACTTTATCCCATTTCTTAGAACTCTGATCCTATGACCTAATTTCCCCCCAAACACCCTACCTCCTAACACCATCAACTTGGGAAATTGGGTTTTGACATAAAAATTTTCAGGGGGCAGATTCACACTAGAGCACCAATGGAGAAGGTAGCTTCTGGAACTTTCTTTTCAGAGGCATTATTTATGTGCCTTCTGAAAATTTTCACGTTTATCATGAGTGATGATCTGTTACTTAAGCCACGGACTAGGATCTTTGCCCATATTCAGACAGCTTCATGGGATGGAAGGAAACAAAGTTTAGTTGTAGAAAGTTCTCATACTGTGGTCACCTAAGACATGATGTGGATAAATAGAACCACCACAGGCAGCCGCGAAAGAGTAGGTTTATTTGTATTACTCAAGCGTTGTAATGACTTCCAGGCTTTCATTCAATGTTATATTTCTTTTTATGAGTAAGGGGATTGAGACCAAACAGTAAAATAAATATGCTGCAAGAAAAAGTATGAATTAAAATCTGCCAAGTATCAAAGAATGTTGATTGAGACAGAGATGGGGGACTTGAGGTATAGTGTAATATTGCCAAGAAGTTAAGTCCAAACAATTTAAACATAATTATTCTTAAGATACAAAGCAAAGGAGACAGAAAATATTGCCGACATCTGAGGGAAATTAATTAAAGTGGCACATAAAGTGAACTTTGAGTCAATGTAAGTAAATTAAATTTTCTGCAAATAGTATATCAGTCTAAAGTAAGGAAGTGACTAAATTTAGCAATAATACCGTGAGACAAGAATCAAATAGAACCATTATCCATGTATAGTTACAGAATTATTCTGGTTTAGGACACAGAAGAAGATCAGACCTTGGAAGAGCATCTCAAAAAACCTGTTTTCCTCTCATCATCCTAACTGCACTATTATACCTGAACCCTATTGCATTGTATAATAGGTTGCGATCTATTCATACACAGACCGAACTGCACATTTGGTTGTATTTGATTGAGTCAATTGAATAGTTTTTAAAAATCCCTTATTGGTTTCAAATATCCCCAAAGAAAAGGGTTCATTAAGGTATTATTATATCAAATAATAATAATGATCCCTAATATTTATATAGCACTTATTTTGCATCGTTTCAGATACTTTGCAAACATCCCTTCATTTAGTTCTCCAAAAACCCTATACTACTATAATTAGCCTCATTTTAAAGATGGGGAAACTGAGGCACAAAAACTATAAAGAATTTTGACAAAATTATATAGTTAGCACTTAGCAGAGAGAGAATTTGAATGCGGGCAGTAGTTGCTAGATTTTGTGTTTTTAACATCTGTGCCATAGTGCCTCTCTGGTGTGTAGAAATCTGAACTACATGGGCTCTATCACACTGACTCAAATGCTCTGGGTGGACAAAATCAAAGAAGTATTCCTTTGTTTCCCATAATGCCTAGAGAATACCATCCAAAAGGACTAGTTGTGTGACACTCCATATAAATATAGAATATCTCATTTATATTACTATATTCAACTTGTATTCTTTGTATAACTTATGTTCATTGTATTGGTCACAGTCTCAGAAAAAAAGAGATGCCATTTTTCAGCAGGGTCTGTGAGGAGAGTTTAAAAAATAAACTGGAAGAGTTTATGGAAATCTTGAGGATATCAGGGGCTACCATGCCTGTCTGAAGGAAAAAGAGAAAGAAAAAGAAGCTGTTGCCAAGAGAAAGTAACTATATGGAGAAGGTTTCCCATCATAAGCTCAAACCTTCTGTAGAGGAATATGGCTGTATGGGAAAATTATCAGAAATTAACTTCCACGGAATCACTTGACACTGGTTACCATTAATCAAATCCAGCCAGATATCAAAAGGCCAGAAAGCTTGTTGGTGCAGCCATATGGGTCAGCCTATCAAGGCACCTGGCAGCGTGAGTACAGAGGAGCTAGATCTGTAAGTACAAATGGAAGATATCTTATGTGCTTTGGAGGCCCAATGCATCTCTTCTGTTTGGTTTTCTAGCATCAGAGATATTTCTTATATCTATGATCAGATATGCAGCTTCATGCAGTGGAAAATAGAAACTTCCTCCTATTCCTTTTCTTGCTTTACTCGTGTACAATGTACACTGGCCCTTTAATGCCCAGCTGAAATGTCAGCTTTATGTTACTTACTCCCTGACATTCCCAACCAATGTGATTTTGTCGCTTTCTGATCCCATGCAACATTGTCTGTCACATTCCCTTGAAGGACACATCCTGCCTTTTTTCAGTAAGGCTACGTGCCTATTCATGGATGTCCCCACTCACCTCCCCACCTCATTCCACAGGATGGTGAGTATACACTCCAGTTCCTCATAGCGCTAAGGACAGGCTTCAACACAAAACATAGCAATGCACACCAACTGGGTTTTCCCCTTGATTCTCATTCCTGTTGATGCTTGCTTTCTTCCTTTCTCATAACTTCCTCAGTATGCTTACTTTTCAGAAATCTGTTGGTTCTAAAAATAGTTCAATGAAAATTGTTGGGCCAGTGCACATATCATTATCTTCAAGCCAGGATCTTCTCACATGATTGGTTAAGACCATTTTTCTCTAAAATGTGGTACATATACCATATGGAGCAAATAATATGATTTTGATGGAAACGGAATAATTTTTAAATTTATTTTCATATTTATCTTAATATATATTAGAAAATTACAACCAGCACATGCCTGTAATGGTCACTGACATTATTTAAAATAAGAGAAAATATTAAAAATAAGACATTTAAAGAAAATGCCTTGGCCGGGCACTGTGGCTCATGACTGTAATCCCAGCATTTTGGGAGGCTGAGGCGGGCGGATCATGAGGTCAGGAGTTTGAAACCAGCCTGGCCAACGCGGTGAAACCTCCGTCTCCACTAAAAATACAAAAATTAGCTGAGCATGGTGGCAGGTGCCTGTAATCCCAGCTATCTGGGAGGCTGAGGCAGGAGAGCTGCTTGAAGCTGAGAGGTAGAGGTTGCAGTGAGCTGAGCT